AAAAAACATTGCTACAATATAAATAAATCTTGTCAAAAATTAAAACCAATAATTAAGGAAATTTAAATGTTCAAAATTACAGAGCAAATAAACGAAGAAATAGGTAGCACAGTTTTGATATTTGACCTTTTTTGAAAGAGATGATAATTTCTATACTTGATGACATTTTTAGACGTACTGGAGCCGGAAATAAATTTGACGATTTATTTCACTGTTATTTAGCGATGCAGAAAATATACGTAATGCCGAGCACATATTCACTGGACACGCTTTGACTCAGCTTAGATAATAATTGATAATCGCCTTTTTACTTCATATTACGTTAAGAAAGAACTAAAGTCACAAGCCGATTATCGGCAGTACTTCAACGGAGCTGATAACATCGCGCATCGCGTTTGCGCGATAATTCAGTGTTATTGATATACAGGCGTTATTCATTATTGATATTCCTATACTTCATAAAAATACTTTGTGATAAAATAATCAATTTCGTAGACGATATTTAAATGATAGAGAGATGCGAACGTTTCACCAAGTAGATTGATGACCTTGGCCGAGATTCCGGAAAAATACGCTGGACTTGTAACTGTTTATCGTTGCTGCTTCATGCGTTGATTTACGCGCTACGCAGAAAGTTTATCCATGGAGATTTACACAACTTTGTACAGCTTATGTCTTCTTAGGCAATGAATGAAGCGGAAAGTAAACTTTGATTGGCTGGTAATAAGGCGAAGCAGGGAGGGTGACCAAACAGAAGAGATTGATTTGTGCAATATTTCCCCACTAGAGACTTTTTTTTTTTTTTTTTTTCAACTTATTTAGGACTTAAAAAAGCTCAGTGGATTATTACTTTATATCATTATTTTCAAGAATTTTATATTTTATTAGTGTTCCTATAAAAAGACTTTGTTAGGGACACACAAACTGAATTAATTATGTGTGTTTCACCATCCCGCCTTCTAAACTGTGACTTATGCTGAAATATTGTGTCTTTTAAAATTACAAGTGTTTCTTAAAAAGTGTGTTTATTCCAGAACTTTGTACAGTGTGAACTGTTTGTGAATACTGTTAATTTATATGACTTTAATATTTCTCGTACGAGAACTCTTGAAATTCACCAGAAATATGTTACTGTTGACTTATTCCTCATTTGAGCCACTCCCACCAGTATAATTACGATCCATTTCATTCTGAACCTGTTTCAAAAGCATACTTAATTTAAATTACTTAATGTTTATTTTTTTCAAATGCTTTATTAAGCATACTTTTCAGGTAGTTATATCTTTTGTCACAGCTCGAACAGCTCCCAGATGCTTTTTTCACTCTACATACCTTTGTATTTGCTTCAGCTTCAGCTTCGCCTAGTAGGCGCGGCGTTACACGCCCATTTTTTCAATTATATATACCAACGCCTAAGGCATTTTTTTCAAAAGCGGTGGTTAAAGCAGCAGAGGCTGCTAATTGCCTCCTAACCATTCAAAAGACAAAACAAGATTGTGCAGCAAAACCGTTTATACCAGGCATGGTTTGTAAACATTAATGGCCTAGCGAATGTACTTAGCGATTAAATTTCAGATACAAACAATAAATCGAATAATGCTACGAGATCGATACGGATCGTTTCATTATAGGAAGTAAAGTTTATATCAGAAAATGATCGTTTTTTACCTTCCAGCGGGCGCGCGATGGTGATTACACTAGATTTTAATTTCGCATTTTTTTCGTAGACCAAAGGCGCTATGACCGCGTGTTCTTGGCTATTCTCTCCTCTTCGTTCGCCCTTCTTTCAGTCGTCTGTGGATTTCGAGGGGTTAATGCGAGTCTGCAGATTTTACTATTTGTATTCCAGAATACGCACGACCGTGAAGTAAGTTTTTCTATATCTAATTTCCTTTTTTATTATAGAAAATCTTTATTCTTTTGCATCTAAATCTTATCATTTTGTATAATTGTGTGCATAATTACTTTTAATGATAAAATAAAGCACTGTATCCGTCACATACGCGCGACCATGTATGATATTTTTGTTCTTTTCTTTTCAGTTATGGCGAATAAAAGTAAAATGCTCAACATGAATTATCCGAAGGATCTTGAGATTATAAGAAATATGCTTTTATGTGACAGTGAGGACGATGAGGACATTATTTTAGATGAAAGCATTACAGATGAAGAAGAACGAATTTCAGAAAAAGATGATTCAAAATCGGAGATAAGTGCAGAGGGCAATTCTGAAGAGGGAAATAATGATGATAATTCTTCCGAAATTTATATTTGTCTAGAGCACTGTAAACATATTTGTTCAGACTGCACCGATGCAATAAAGTGACTATGAAATTGATTTGTTATGTAATATTTAATAATGTTTTTTACTTACTGATTAAAAATAAAAGTTCAGCTGAAATATTGGCAGTTTAATTTTGTTTTACTTTCAAGGTAGTTTGATAAGTCTTTTTTAGTCCATTTTATATACTGTTTTTTTTTTTTTTTTGCTTTATACTTATTTTATTTTCCTTAATTTAAAGTTAATATTGTTTAACTTAATTGTGCTTATTAACATTTAACTATTTACAAACTAATTTTAATATTTTTGCTCTGGAAAATGTATTTTTTATAATAGCGTATCTAAGAAATACGCGCGACCGTTCTTGTTGGTGCAGAAGGCGCGCCCGCTGGAAGGTTTAAGAGGGGGAGCATGGATATTATTAGTTTATTACTAGAAAGGTGGTGCATTTTTTGCTAATTTTATTAACAAATAAAAACATTACAGCCAACGAATTTTCGTAACAAAGAGAGAAAGCTATAAGTTTTAAAATTCTATTGATAAAATTCTTCACTTCTTATTCTATTAATAATAAGAAGTGAAGTTCGTTTCGAATTCGTTTTTACGAATGTCAGTGCCTTATTTTGAGGTTACAAATCGAAGTGTGTGTCGAAATTATTTAAAAAAAAAGTTAGATTTGAAACATTTTTTTCTTGTGATGTGAGTATTACGAGTTTTTAAAATCTACGCTCATTTGATTTATTTATTCGATGACTGAAGCAGCAGTCCGCTCGCAACCGGAAGTGTGAGGTAATTACTCTGTGATTTATCGTTTTGAAATGTTTCTCGTTTCTACTTGTTGCATGTGTCAACAAAACTAGTCTTCTTCTCTACATATAATAAAAGAAAGAGTCTGTCCTGTGTGTGTGTGTCTTTCGTTTTGCGCCGAGCTTAAATTTTGTACACAGGTGCATCTAGACAAGAGCCAGTGCACCTCGAAGCGATGTTTTCGAAATTCGAATTAGAATGTTTTTAATTTTAATTTTATGTTTTGTTACGAAATCGCGTCATTTTGAGACATAATGGGCTATAGGAAATCGAGACTTTACTCTACACACTCCATTTTCACGTCGTCATGAAACGTAGGCACTTAGCTATTTTACGAACTTAAAATAAATTTCGTGTTTCAATAAATCGATTAAATACGAATTTATTTAACAAAGGGAGCTTAACACCTTTTCAACCGGATTTTTTCTAAAAAGTTTCTATTTCTAAAAAGTTTACTTTTAAAAATGTACTGTTTATTTTTCTTTGATTTTTGGACACGTTAAACTTTCATCCTTGCGCGATTTTGCTTTTACAAAAAGAATTTTGAAAAAATTATAATATTTTGTATTTTTAAAAATTTTTTTAAATGAAGCTTTCGAGTACACTTCTCACACCTTTAAAAATGTGATTTTGGCAACAATTTTCCTTTCTTACTGTTGTTGGTAGATTTTTGATGAAATCACATCATTTTGAATAGTTTCATTCTTTTAGAAATATGGGTTTGGCAACAATATAAGATAAAATATCATTAATTATACTTTGCTTTTCAGAATTTTTTGTTTTTTGTATTCTTATATGTTATTTATTGTTCATTTCACTGTTTGTAATATATTGAAAAGTTTTGCATGATTTTTTTTTTCTTCAACGGACAGTTGGTTAATTTTTTTATTAGGATAATTAATATTTGTATTAAGATATAGCTTATTTCATTGTAATTTTTTTCTCTTGATTTTTTCTCTTGAAAATATAAGATAAAATATCATTAATTATACTTTGCTTTTCAGAATTTTTTATTTTTTTTATTCTTTCATGTTTGTAACCTTATTGACTTTTTTAGGAAGCAAAGTTCTTAACCTCCTTTATACCATTTGAGTTTTTAAGATTTTGCAAAAGGAAGTTGGTTAATTTATTTATTAGGATAATTAATATTTGTATTAAAGGATATTGCTTATTTCATTGTAATTTTGTTATACGTAATAACTTTTTTTATGAAGTTGTTCTGCAGAGTAAAATTGTACGCAGTTTTTAAATTTAACGTTTGGTGTTCCCTTCAGCCATTTTTCCGGTACATTTAAAAGCCAGACGAAGGCTGGCAGCGAAGCTTCTAGTGGTGAATAGAACTTCGTTCTTGTGACAGCCAAGTGGTATGACTTGCTATGTTGTAGTAACTTTCGCATTATCAGAATTGGTTAAATAAAAGTGAAGATTGTACAGTACATTTTGTCTTGTGTCTGTTTCTGTGTATCAGCCGCCTGAAACTGTGTAAGCAACACATTCTTTCTCAAAAGCAACACATTCTTTCTCAAAAGTGATTCTCAGACACATTCTTTCTCAAAAGTGATTGATAAGTAAGTTGATAAGTAAGCAACACATTCTTTCTCAAAAGTGATTCTCAGACGTTCTATACGCACTTCTTAAATCTTTGTGGTCAAATTTCGTACAGGAAACCGTGCATTTATAAGATTAATCCTTTCTTTTTCCGCAAAATTCCTTAGTTTCTAACTGATCATTAAAATTTTACAAACATTTTGAAAATTTCACGGAATTTCACAATACGTGATAGTTTCAGAATGATTTTTAAAAGAAAGGATTTAGCTTTTAAATACTTGCAAGATGTTCTTTTTGTTTCCTTGACATTTTCACTAAAATATTTTCATAGTGAGAAAGGAGTTTGCTCTCCTTTTGTTTTCAGAAGTTCCTGATTTGATTCCCTTGATGGAAGACGATTTTTTGATTAGATTTCTCCGGGTGTCAAAATTTGATGTGCAGAGAGCCCTCAAAAGGATCTTAAAGTATTATGAAGTCAAGAACAAATATTCCAAGATATACACGGATTTTTTGCCATCGGAAATGAAAGCGACTTTGGACATGAACATGCTAATTACTTTGCCGAAGCATCCTTCCTTTGGACCCACAATTTTCTGGGCTAGAATGGGTAAGATTAAAACAAATAATTTTAAAAAACAATTTTTACTATTCCTATATACAATATTTTCATAGTCACTGTTATTTCCTTTTGAATAAAAATAGCTCTTATTACATATTTTAATTTTATAAGAAAGTTTATAATGAACATAGTGTGGAGTAGAAGCTTGTAAATCACACGAATTAAATGAAGTGAGACGTGGCGCTAGTATGTGCCAGCTAAAAGACAGTTTCTTCATGACAATTTGGTGCTAATATCGTATCTGTAGTGTTTTGTTTGGAAAATTGCTATTTGTAGAGCTATCTCCTCTAATGGCATCATTTCTGCCATTAAAAGAACCTACCTCTCTGAAAACACTTCGTTTTAGGCAATAAAGATGGGCAATCCTAGCATGAATTTGAATCAAAGCAGAATAGTACCGCTTGGAAATTGCTAATAACTTCAAAAACCAGAAACACGTGTTCTGTCGAAAACGAAAATAAAAAAAAGTTCGTTATTTCTATTGTGCTCAAGGGGAATTAACACTAGAAATCCCTGCCACGAGACAAAGTTTAATTGCTGTGAGCAAAGTTTTCAAACGTTTGCGTCAGGGTTGTTCGAGAAGTTTCAGCCTAATATAGTTTTTCATGGTCTAATTATTTGCCTAATTTAACTTATTTTCTAACTCTAAAATTAATGCGCGTTTTGGGGGATACAACCAATATTCAAGAAACTATACTGACGGATTTCAAACAGCGTCCGTTTAATATTATTTGTGTGCACATTGCTGTCAAGAAAACCACATTATATATTGCAAAAATATTTACTTCCGTTAAATAAAAATCAATAAGATACTACGTTAATTCTTCATTAGTTTTACATTGCTCTTGGCGTACCATATCTAGAAATGATTGGCTGAAAGTGGAAATTAGGAAACAAACTAGAAGCAATTTAATGGAGTAATCAGATCAGATAAATAGATATACCACATTTATGAGTCAAATTCTAGTAATTTCTCAAGCACGTATCATGTAGTAAGGAGAATACAATTTATGTTCAGAAATGATTCAGTTACTTTCCCTTCAGATAAGCTCTTCGGGAGAAACTATCTTTATTCCTCACCGCATTGCCCAGAAAGGGATTAAATAAGGAACTGGTAAGAGTAGGCTAAAATTACCTGATATTCTGTTAGCTTCAAGACACGGAGGAAGGAGGACGCTACAGCCGTAGCGCCTACGAGGAGAAAGTTATGCGAAAGTTTTTTTGCTACAGATGTGCTAAATTGCTTTTAATTGTGAAAGTTATGCTTCGGACAGGTTAAATCGCTATTTTGCCCAAGTTATGCCACTGTTACATACTGCCACATTGGATGTCATTCAGGACTTCAAGTGCACAGGTTTATTCCAACATCTGGATTTATTTTTCCCTTTTAGGATACCTACTAAGGACAGTAGATAGGTAAAGACTTCAGGGTCCTATACCTATTAAATAAGCGAAGACCTATGACCTATGACCTTTAGAATTACCTGTTGAACAACAGTATAACCCCAAAGTTCCAAAGATTCACTCTTAGTCACTGGTATATTTTTACAACTGTATTTTGTTTTCAAATTTATGCAAAAATACTTTCATTTACTGAAATGGAATTCCCTTCAAATTTCCATATTCATAAAGTTTTTGGTTAACAATTCTTTATTGTTTTTGGTTAACAATATTATTCTTTACATCCATTTTCAAGTAACACACTTTACACTTTACAATGTATTTATAATTTTTTCTGCCCTCAGTACTTAGTAATGTTTATGTTTTTAATGGATATGCCAATTTTGCAAAAAATTGCAACACCCATTATGAATTTTGAAATATTTAATCGGTAAATTATTTCCAAAAAATGGTTATACTCTTTTGCAATAATTTCAAAAACATTTTGAAACCAATCGCTGTATAGCAATTTGTACATGATTGATTTCTCACTGTTTTACCAGTTGATGAAAAATGAGTGGTTTCATTGATGAGGCACGTTCAGAAGCGCATACCATTAGGCACGTCTAAAGTTTGCAGCTTTGTTTTTCTACGTTCAAGATCGTCCCACAGGTTCCAAATCTTAGCATACAATTTTCTCATCAGATATTATTATTGAGTGATCAGTGTTTAACGCTTTATAGAAAATTAAATACTTTAAATTTTCCTTAAAGGGAAAAAAATACATATAGAATTTATATCCGCAACTAATTTTCCGGTGAAAAATGTTTTTTTCGTTAACATAAATTCTGAATAGGTCAGAATCAGAAACCATAAATGAAAGAAACATTTCCAAATTGTCCACAACTAATACAGAAATAATAATAAATTGTCCACAACTAATACAGAATAATAATAAATTGTCCACAACTAATACAGAAATAATTCAGAAAATTGTACATTTCTCGGAAGTTATCGTAAATATTCCTTCTTGAAATTAATTTTCTTTACTTAAATTTCAAACCTGAGTGAATCTAAACAATAATAAAAAAAGTTGTAAAAATTTGAAAGGATTCAATTTTAACTGTCATTTAAACAGGATCGTTAAAGTTTAGTACGGTTTAAACAGTGGATATTATGAATAAAAATGACCAAGGTGGAATAGCGAAACATTTTTTATAGCATACTAGATTAATATAGCTTTAGACTAACATGGGGCCATTACCTATCTTTTGAATATGCGAATGAAAGTAATATAAAGAGTAACGTTTATCGTCAATTAAATACATTTTTATTTAAATCATTCAGCTTAAAAATCAAGCAAACTAGAGTCCTAAAATATCTGATGTGGTATCAACATGACTTCCTTGTACGGAATATTAATTTGCTGCATTGCATTTAAACTTATTTCCTCGAATTTCATTACACGTAGGTTTCTCATTGAATTAATCTAGTTCTCACTTCGCTGAAAGGCAAAAATACATAAAACCGGGAAATATCTTTATTAAAAATTGAAAAATATAGAAAAACATAAAACACCAAATACAGTTAAAATAATTTAAAAACAAATTTACAATTAAAATTAAAGTTTATACGCAAAACAAGCAATTCGTCCAGTAATCAAGAAGGCAGATTTTTTTGGTGCACAAAACCAAAAGTTTCCTTTTGGTCTCACTCGGCAAAAGACACTGAAGGAATTAATTCACTATTCTGCTAAGTTTCAAATGTAAACAAATATAGCTATTATGGTAAGAAAACTTTTAGGCTTAGGCGTACTTAAACAACTTTTAAATTGTTGATTGTACAAATAATTGCATGCAGATTAACTAAAAGCATAATATAATTCAATCATTTTTAAAGCGAAAAGTGTACAATTTTACGACCGGTTGCAATCAAAAAGGGAGATGCACAACTACATGTTGTAGCAGTCCTATGTACAAAATTGTAACGTTCTGAGGCTACTCCTTTTTGGAGTTATGCGATACATACATATATACGGACGGACGTCTAGAAAAATATCTCTTCTGAATCTATTTTAAATCAGTTTTATAATACTTTTGGGGAGGAAGAGTCTTTTATTCTGTTTTTATGTGCAGATATCACGCAGAAACATCATGAAATTGCGTTCGACAGCGGTCAAATTGGATATTTTCGTTGAAAAATGATATTCGGAAATTTTCGTGATTACAGTGCTTCTATTACTTCGTACAAGGGAGTAAAAAAGTATTGTTATTGCTTTTAAATAGTTTAGTTTGTTAATTAATATCAGACAGAATTTAGAAAGACAAATATATTACATTTTCCGAATGGCAACAGTTACGAATAAACAGTGAACCATCGCATTTACAGCGGATGACACAAAATCGCATTTCGAGACTAATTGCCCATTTGGGCAAGCTTGTTAATAAAACTTAATACATGAAATCTAAAATTTCAAAAGAATCTGAATAAATTCTGCTATGAATACCGTAAATTCACCCATAAGTAGTATGAATGTGTGGTCAGAATCACAATACCTATTCAATTAATTGAATCACAATTAATTGAAGCATTGCACAATTAATTGCAGATGGCTTATTCATCAATCACAATCAGTTGATGAATCAGCCATTTGCAATTTTTATATATAATATGTTGTGGTGTGCACATCCTTTTACGATTTTGGTACCCAATTATTAAGATTTCAGACATCAGGATATTTTGTTCTTCCCAAATTAGGTAAAATTAAGCTTTTTATTAGTTTACATTTTATTACATCTAAAAATTTTGTTTCATTATTATTATTTTCATTATTATTATTTCATTATTATTATTATTTTCATTATTATTATTATTTTCAGTATTATTATGTCATTACTATTGTTGCGTGCGTACGGTTTAGTAGTAGATTAAATGCGCGCAGGTCCGATGATAGGATAATAAAATTTATCTTGTCAAAATAAACATTTCAAATTTATCTTGTCAAAATAAACATTTCAAATTTATCTTGTCAAAATAAACATTTCAAAGTTCTGGAATTTTCCGCAGAAATACTTGTACAGATGTCCACAGTATCACACGAATAATAAGTAGTTACGCTTCAAACTACTAAGAACGTTAAACACAAGCAATGAAAATCGTATCTAAAGAGAAAGCTAACCCAGAAATATCTCCGATCTCACGCTGAACTAACAACTCGCAAAATGAATAATTAAACAGCCGAGGGCAGATGCTCTCTGTCCAGTCTTGTGTAGTTTCCACCAGGCCGCCGAGATATTTCTAGTACATTCTGCTTCTGTAAATTACTGGAAAGCCATATGACGGTCGAATTACGGTTGCAGCTAATACAATGATCAATTACATTTACTCAGTTACAATACTTGTTGCAGTGATACTGGGACTGGACCAAAATGTTGCCAAATGGTCGACCAAGTTTTGCTGGTTTTGGCGATTTCTGGCGAAATTGCCGAAATACACATTTACACAATGTGAAATGGACTTGCTCCTGCATTCATACTTAAATACAGTAAAAAATACAATAATTTTACATATAATTGCACTGATATCATCTATCTATATACAAAATTCGTAACAATATTCTTCTTAGAAATATTCTGAAACATTATAGGCCGTTCATATATAGATAGGCCTAAATGTTTACTAAATAGACGGTCTGTAAGCATTTTGCTTCCAAATTTGATTATGCAATTTTACGATATTGGTTAAAAACTGATTTAATTTAATTTTTTTCTACTCCTCACGCAGGTCAGTTTGACTCATCAAAAGGTACTCTCACAGATGTTGCTGCTTTAGCCATAATCAAAGGCGAAATAGATTTACAAATAGAGTCTTCGCAAATTCATGGAGCTCACATTATTTTGGACTTCAAAGATTGTACTTTGCAACAATTGTATCAACTTTCATCCGTAAGCATTGCGAAGATGTATATCAAATATTTACAGGTAAGGAAAGAAAGAGAAATATTGCACTGAATATGCCTTTTCCAATAATGCTATCGTAATAGGGTATGTTTGCAACAATTTTTTATGTTTACTGTACGTTAATATCTTTTAATTTATACCATAGTAAGAGGGATTCATATCTTTCTTTACGAGGTTTTTCAATTATCTTTAACTCTTTCTTATTAAGCGGAAGATATGTCTGAGAGACTCCTTCCAGTTGCATCATTATAAAGGATGGACTGGATTATTCAATTATGGCAAAGCACACGAGGGCTATCTGCCTAAAAGGGAGGGATGCCTTCGTGGAGGACTTTCTAAGGGAAACTGGCTCGTATACACGTTACACATAGGGAAAAACACGAAAACGCCCATGCAGCCAGCCCGTTCGCGGGATTCGAACCTCGGACCGAACTACCAGTGTTCAGCGTTTTTGCCGCTCGGCCACTGGTCACGCAACCATTATAAAGGAAATTATAATACTTAATTGAAAAGAGCGGTTTTGCTCATATTTACCATGCATATGCTTTGAGGTAAAGGCGGGCAAACCCGCTCTTTTACGTGATCAGTTTGCTCGCTAAACTTAATCGTTTCTTTTTATGATTCACCTCTCACTAGCTGTAACCATGACGAATAAAATCAGGAAATGTAAATGAATTAAGAGCGACGAGTGGCGTTAGAGCGAAAACCAGAAATAATGGAATGAACAGTGGGATCGGAAGGATCAGTTGAATCCTTTACTCCTGGATTGATTTCTTTCAACTGTAGTTATAAGATTCCCTAAAAACTTCTTCCTACGTAGAACTAATAATAAAATTCTGGAATTAAAAATGTTTAAAAATTTAACTAAAGATAAAAATTAAACTCACTTTTACTATGGGAGATGTTATTATTATGTACACGGCACTGGTTTTACAAGCGCAGTTAATTGTATATGATCACGTGGCTACTCGCGCCTTGGTGACGAAAGTATATATACTTAGTTTTTCGCTGTGATTCATAAAGCAGTCCTTTTTTGCTTGAGAATCAAAAAATCGCAAATTGATACATTTCTTTGATTATTATTGTTATTTCGCATCGAATCGTCATTTTTGGAGCTGTCCACCCGGCAAACCTAGTGGTTTCATGTGAACAGCAATTATTATTGGAAAATTTGATTTTGTATGCTATGACGTTACAAACGCCACGTAAGTTTTTTTAGTCCAAAGGGATTTGAATCCCGAAGGACTATTAGTTCGGTTTTGGCATTTTGCCAGAACGGATAAATGTCGGTTCACTTTTCAAACTGTTGCCATAAAATGTTAGAGTCCTGCATTATATTTGAAGAAATTAAATAATGAAAATCTGCGTAAATGTATGTATATTTCTCACATTGTCATAAAATAACGGTACATAGAGTCATCGAATTTTGAATAACGTAATCCTCCAACGAATATGAGCATGTGGAAGAAGAAATTTGAAATTTGAAATTTGTTTTATGATCGATTTCCTATTTTTTAAAACTTTGACGAATTTTTGATTAACAAACTCAAGGATTTCAAAGCGAGCAATGGCAACGTTGTGCAGAAAAAACATTTTTATCTCCAGCGCGTGAGTCTCTGTATCGGAAATTCTAAAGATATGCTCGTTTTTAAAACTATTTTGCGATATTGCTGTTGCACTGGATCTTATGGTTTAAGTGCGAGGAACATGATATTTAATAAAGAAAGGTAACACACAAAATGTTAAAAAACAGCCCTTTGGACGTAATTTAAAATCTGAAACATTTCAGATTTTTTTTTTTTTTTTTTTTTTTTTTTTTTTTTGGTTACTTTCCATTTGTGCATTTATTTGCAATGTTTTGCTTTGGAACATCGTGTTTTGACTTCTACAACGAGGCATTTGTTTGTCATCGCCAGATGAATAATATGTGTTCTTCCTATTAATCAAAGAAATATTGACTCAAAGTGAGTGTTACTGAAACATTTGAGAACACGCATCTGCTCTATCAGTTAAGTGATTGAATAATAAAATAAATTCTCACACTGCTAACGCAGATAGGGGAAAAATTAAACTTTTCAAAGCGAAACTGAATAATTTAAGAGCAGATGTTTCATGAATTTTTGATGATATTTATGCAATATGAGAGGAAAAGGAAGTTGATACCTATGTTGAAAAATATCAAATAGTTCAAACTGTTTGATGTTTTTCAACAATTGAAAACAACAACAGTTGAAAAATATCGAACAATTGATAACCTTTACTGAGACTAAGATAAAAAATGTTCTTGCCTTGATAGTGTGTGTTATGCCCGATACTACGAAAGTAAAGCTGCCGAATTTAACTTTTAGTGAAAGTCTAGAATGGTTATTGATCACGCCCCTTTCACCAGCAAGCCCTGTCTTCTTGACCCACACTTCTGTATTCGCTTACTTGATGCTCTCTATTGAAGCATGATATTTTAAGACAACCGGATCAAAGCATGCAAAATGCGGCAAATTAGCGGCTTTCATCGCGGCAAATTCATCATGTTTCTGCACATATCTACTATTCGCGATGTTTTTTCTTCTATTCGCGGCAAATTCATCAGAACTTGTTTTTGCACATATCTACTATCCGCGGCAAATTCATCAGAACTTGTTTTTGCACATATCCACTATTCACGGCAAATTCATCAGAACTTGGAAGTTTAGATAAATAGTGGCTTACATTTGGAGACCTTTCAAGGACAATGTAAACAATATTAAATTTTCAAACTCTCAAAGGCTTCAATATATTAAAAGCCTCTTGCAAGGCTGAAGCTAAATCTACTTCAGATTCAAAATATAAAATTTCATGAGATTTATTGAGAATAGATTTTCGAATAAACGAGAACTAGTGAATGCATTAATTAAGAAGGTTATTACGAAACCCAAACCGCTGACTCAGAAGACACTATTTGAATCTTGTCGATATCACTAATGCAAGCGTTTATTCTCCTAGAGCTTTAAAACAAAATGTTTGAAGGCTTTGGTGATACATTGGTAACTCATTCACTTGTAGAAAAATTAGATAAAAACACACGGATTTGGTATGAGAGGCAATTCCGGGGAGGTCAACTAGGAATAAAAAAAAAAAAAAAAATCACTAGCTCTTTTAAAAGAATATGCTAGAGCACTTCAGAAAACTAAAAAGTTTTAAAGAAAGGAAAGTAAATTTTAAGATCATATCGTTAGTGTTAAAAAAATTGCCCTTGTTGTAAGAAAAATCATTACTTATATACGTGTGATCTATTCAGTAAATTTGCCTGTTTAGAAGAGTCTCGATTTTGTGAAATTTAATAAACTTTGTTTCGACAATTTATCTAATGTGCGTAACGTCAAGACATCTAAAAGCTGTCATAATCATCATCATTCATTGCGCGATATGTGCAAAAACAAGAGTTGCACCACTTAATGTCCAGTGCTAATCCAGAGCAGAATTATGATCTGCTCTATTGTTAGCAAATATACTAACGACAGTGATGAAATGTTTGAATGATTCTTGCTAGTAGTAGTTGGCAAGGTCAGATTATATTCTGTTTTGCTTTTGAACCACGGTTGCCTCTGAACCACAGAACCACTATTCTGTTTTGCTTCCAAATACCTCTTCTTATCGTAGTTAATTGACTGTCAAAAATTCTAACCGTCATTCCTGAAACGATATGGAATCACGTTCAAGGAAAATCCTTCTGAATAACCCAATGAATTACTTGATTGCGATCTATGGTTCAATGGACCTTCCTGATTGCAAAATTATTATCTGGAATCTGATAATGATCTGTGAGATGTAAAAATAGACATTGAATTGGACAGTTAAGAAGTAGTCAAGGAAGAAAAAGAATGCGTTATTTGCAGGTTCGCTAAAACTGATGATAATTCGTTAAAAATTTCATCTTGACCAATAATATGCTTATCGTTGATTATCGTTTAAGATTTATCAATGATAGATTGTTTAAGATTATTAAGATTATTGTTTAAGATTTATCTAAGAAATCAGGATTTCTTGTTAATGAAGAAATGAATAATACGTGTTGTACGATAGTAAGAACTTTACCACATTCTGTATTTCCCGACGAATTATCAGCTTAAAGTGCGAAGAATCGTTGAAATTGGATAGCCAGTTATTATCCTCAAGTCCACTCCTTGATTAAAAAATTATTCGCGTTGGAGGATAATTAGGTATTCAAATATTTTGGAAATCAAAGGCATCACAAGCTCATTTCTCAAAAACTTTTCATTTTTAAACTTTAGATATTATGACGAAATATTCTTGCATGCATCTCCTGCATTTTTACTTTCTATAATAAGACAAAATTTTTGGATTGCTAGATCTGAAATGAGAAAGCTAAATTTGAAATATGAAAAATCATTAAATATCATGTTGTTTGTTAAAGACATTGTACCCAAGTTGCAAGAAGCTGGCGCAGTGCCAAGCATCGCAAGCGCGCGAAGTAGTTGTAAACCATAACTGTAACTGGAATGCGAGTAGTTGTAGTGATACGTGTGTAAGCGAAGATGATGTATTTTGTACATAATAAAGTAGCAAGTAATAATTAAATACAGTGTCTTGTGAAATAATTACCCACAAAGATATACAACAGTTTTTGCGAGCTTTTTTTTTTATTTAATTGTGAATTAAAGAGCTTTGAACATATCTTTTAATTAATTTCCTTTTCTCATGCTTTTAGGAATGTTGGCCATGCAGGCTCAAGGGCTTTCATGTAATTTATGAGCCATTACCTATGCACCATTTTTGCCTCTTTATCGCTACTTTCTTACCAAAAAAGTTGAAACAAAGGGTAAGTAGTTTCATCTGAATGTTATTTTATAAATGAAATATAACTACATTGATATTTGGGATATTTAATTGAGCCAAACGTAACTTGCAAATATGATATAAGATATTTCCACAATTACAAATAATTATTTGACAAAATAATATTTAAAAGAGAAGAAGGAATATGCAAAGATCAAATCTAAATTAAATGTAGTATATTTCTGTTACTTACATAAAATGATAACAAAATTAACCTTAAGCAATTTAGTTAATTTTTCTGTTCAATAATTATTATATTCAATATTATTTAAAATTATTTTTATCATGTAATTCCTAAAATCAGTTTTTTGATTTTAAAACAGATGAAAAATTTTTTGACATTATGAAATAATAATTTTCTGTTAACTACCACAAATATTTTCATCTGTACGCTGTATTAAATTGCTACTTAACATTAAGTAGAAGAACGGATTTAGGTATAATTATGAACTAAAATAATTATGCAGAAAAATATTCTTTTTATGTGCACATTTAATTCCACGGTTTAGAAGATATATACAAAGGATGTTCGCCCATTTTTAGACGATTTGGCTTTGCTGTAAAAACAAACTTCTGCTTGATTTATTTTTAACTTCAACTATATTTTTGAAAGTATAAATTATCATCTGCTGCTTAACAGTTTTGTTTTCATGCAAAACTTTACTTTTAAAGAAGCAATGGATGAAAGACTATGTTTGTGTTCTTTCTAAAGATAATGTTTCATATTTAGTTATTAAAAAACACTGCGAAAGCCATGGCTTTTCGATATCTAAAGCTACGATAGGTAATTTTGACAACAACAAAGGAAAAAATGTCGAAATTTAGCTTCAAGGGGAAAATTGTTCGAAATACGTATCCAAAGGAAAGACGGAATGTTGCAAATGTAAGATCTTTATTATTAAAAAAAATCTGCCAAGTGAAAGAACAACTGTAAAATCATTAAAATGCCCAGTCTCAACCGTAAACAAAGTTTTTAATGTTGACGGAATCTTAAAGAAAGGCGAGAAAACATAATGTGCATCGTCTTTCTCCACGGCATAAAACCGAACGCAAAACGCGCTGCAGAATTCTTTGTGAGAAACATTTATTCGGAGAAAAGTAAAAAATGTTGTCACAATAAACGAATCTTGGGTCTTCTTAAATGATTTCAATAAAAACAGATCCATTTATTATCATAAAAGTGGAGAAAAGAATCTTAAAGCATGACTCAAAAGTGATTTATGTTTGTTGCTGGTTTTTCGTTTAACGGCAAATTAAAAATAAAAAGAGCGGATAAAAATATTAAGATCAAATCCACATATTATCAGGACCGTATTTTATACTCAATTTTCAACTATGAAATAGCTACCCACAGTATCATCAGTCAGAACTGCATCAAAACTAAGCAAGAAGAGGCATTGAAAATCAACTGTTAATTTCTTTGAAAAAATGAAATAAGAAAACGGGTATCAAGGTCATGTCCTTCACTCATATACCTACTAAATCTTCTGTTGTATTACCAATGTATTTTTGTGCTTCTGAACGGTTTAAAAGCCGAGTTGTCCAAACGTCGATCTGCAACCTCCTTAAGCTTTGGAAAAATGGTCGACATACCTCTTTCGGTAGTATAGAAGGCTTTATTGTCTTAGAAATTACGGTGTATAGAGATAATGAAGAATAAGGTTATCAAATAGAAGAATAAAAACATAAAATATTAGGTAAAATATTTCTGTAATTACAGTAAAAATGGTCTTAAAATGTGCAAACAGCCTCTGTACCTATAAAAGTGTCTTTAAATTTTTACTTCCTTGTACAAAGCAAAAAAGAAGTATTTATAATCGCGAAAAGTTTCAGGCAGCATATTTCAACGAATATTTTGACTGCTATCGAATGCAATTTAACGATGTTTCTGCGTGACATCTATACCTAAGGACAGACTAAAAGACTCTTTTCCTCCAAAAAAATTATAAAACTGCTTTAAAATGAATTCTGAAGAGAATTTTTCGTGGTGTCTGTACGAACGTATACGTAGTACGTATGTATCTCGCATAAATCAAAAACGAGTGGCCTCAGAACGTTGAAATTTTGTATATAGGACTGCCATAACATGTAAAGGTGCATCGCGTATTTTGGATACAATCGGCCGCACCAAGCGTATATAAATATATTATATATATATATCCATATCTGTTACCCGGCTCAGTGATCTCAGTTTCTTTACTCTTATATGTTTGTAAATTGTACATTTTTTGCTTTAAAAATGATTGAATTATGTTGTTCTTATCTTCCGGTTAAGGTTTTTATGCCTTTAGTAAATCCTGTATGCAATATTTGTAGAATTATCAACAATTTAAAAGTTGTTTAAGTGCGTGGTTAAGCCTAAGTTTTTTGATATGGCAGCCATATTTGTTTACATTTGAAACTTAGCAGAATAGTGAATAGAGATTTGTTGCCAATCTAGAGAAACTAAGCTTCGCAACAACAAAGATAACGCCTTCATTTTATTATTGCGAATTAAATCATGCTTAATCCTTTCTGGAATTTTTTCGAGGAAATAAGTGTTTAAGATTTACTTCGTAATTTTTAATATAGATATTTGAGTTTTTATGTATTTTTGCTTCTCGCGAAGTGAAAAAACTGAATTAATTGAATGAGAATACTCAAATCGTCTGTGAAAAACTGTTTCTTTTTTGTTTTGTTTGCTTAATTTCTTTTATACATCGTTCTAGCTTTATTATAGTATTTGAATAGAACATGTGGCAACGATTAGATAATTCTTCAAATGATATAAATTTTGTGCATTCTGAGTTATAATATGAACGAAATATAATACTGTTAAGTGAACCCAGCGCCAGAGTGTCGCTATGGTAAACAAATATAGTGAATTTTAAAGAGTGCATTTATAATGTTGTGATTTATGCGCTATCGATGAAGTAGGCTTAATTCAATCCAATAAATTTAAATGAAATGCAAGAAAAAATGCGTAGAATTTAATATTCCTTACAAGGAAGCCATGTGGTGCACACATCAGATTTTTTCTTCATAATCTCAGTTTCATAAACTAATTACCAAATATATGTACTCAGAGATAAAGCATTGAAAAACACATCTTTTATCGAAACATATTACAAACTCTCTTTATTCAATTCCTCAGCTATAGAAAAATATAAACACGAGGTATGCGTTTAATTCCTAGAGCGAAGTTCTGTATTACCTACATAGGAAAAGTAAATGATTCTTTTGATTTCGATAAGCAAGGCTTTCACTTCGACCTACGTAAAGTCATCATAACATTTTGGCAAGTTCATTTTATAAACAGGATCCGTAGTAAGCTATTGAAGATGCGCATTAATACGTATTATTAAAGGTAGCCCGAAGGAAAGAAGGGCTTGAATTTGTCGTCTCGCTGAGGGCTTGCGATGTCTCATTGATACTTAGAAGTAGGAATTTATTTGAAGTAGGATACTGGAAGTAGGAAAGCATGTCCAGAAGTAGTAACCATGCTAGTTGAGGTAATTCAGCTGACATTAGCATATGTTAAATTTAGTGAGTCTGAGCACACGACTCATCATATAATCTTCGTGAGTGGTCTTAAATTTGTGGCCCGGAAGAAATTTTATGCGGCCCCGCGAATGCATTTCAGTAGTATATTTGTCGCAAATATGGTGTTGTATAAATTTTAATTATTTGAAGTCCTACTTACATTATTCGCATTACCATTAAAAGCAAACGTTAATAACCGAGCAGGGGATCTGATTAACTTTTATTCGTACTTATAAAAAAATAAGCATGCTCAGTTACAAATTTTCCTCCCTAAAAATGATCGCTTTCTTTGGATGTACCTTTACATTTGAACAGCATATATATTATATATATATATTTTTTTTTTTTTTTCAGTCGTGAAACGTGTTAAGGAAACAAACCCACCGCGACTCTATAAGCATTCGCAATACGTGAAAATGATAATTTCTAGTAATTTTTCTTCGAGGCTACAAACGTTTTGACTGGATACCACATCAAATATTAAGCTGTAGTCAGAAACAAAGAGATTTGTATCGAAGAAAAATTTAATAATTATGGGAAATTATTTTTTCTGAATTTTTACGCCACTTGGAAAGTTTACATAATTAGCTTATTTTAGCTTTAAAGAAGATTGTTTAATGATTATTTAAACATATGAGTATTATTTGAAATTAAGTCAATCTGAAATATTAATATTTAGCTGTTAATATGTTTGGCTTAGAAAGCTGTAATCAAGACAAATATCTTGCAGGTACTAAGCATTAGATTTTAGACTGAAAACTAATATAAATTTGAACTTCTTTCTTTGCATTATAATTATTGTTGTTAACGTATGTTTTAATAAATATTTAATAAACGAAATTTAAAATTTAGTTTGTTGTTTATTTATTTTTTTATGAAAAGGTTTAATTTCGTTTTAAAAAAAACCTGGCTACTCAGCTGTTTTTACGCCATGTATTCGACCCGTATGTAATTTGAGTTTGAGATCACTGCATTTGGTTTTGGAACCCTAGAAAGGAAAATCTCCTCGAGTGGATATACTTTAATTGTTCATTGTCATGAATGCTTCCGGTACGAACATAAAAATGATGTTTAATTATAAATGACTAGGAAAAATGTCTCACAGTCAAATGAGTTACAGAGTTTTGATATGCAATATGAACAAATGATGTAATCCCATGGATTCCCTTTTATTTAGGTAGGTAGAAACCATCAAGCAACTAGATGGAGAATGAGGGTTACTATATTATTTCCTGGATGCATTGCTGAGCTGCTCAAATGTAACGTAATGTCTCAAATGATTAAATACATTAATTTACAAAGATTATAGTTTTGGACGAAGAAAGGGATTTTCAACAAAAAGATGCTTTAATTACATTAAGAAAATTGAAGCCTTTGCTAACCTGTATGCTTAAAATACCGAAACACCCGTCCTTGTCCATTTCTTCAACTCCCTGTATATTAACGGGCAAAGAAGTCCGA